ATCACGTAACAGCAGAAACGTAAACCTTCCTGAACGGTGCTGTCTTGATCTGTGGGCCTCTGCTGCTTTCAGGAAGAGAACAGGAGTGAGGAGCTGTAAAAGGCCTTTGGAGCCATCAGGAGCAGAAGGAGGATCTGAATGTTGGGATCTGGGCATGTGCATAGTGTGAGGGGCTGAGCCTGTTCCTTCTTCAGACACACCTGCCTGCGTTTTCCTCCCATCACTGACTTTAAGTCTTAATCTTTCTTTTGAGGCACCCCAAGGGCACATTCTCCATAGTGGCTCCTTTTTTGACTCATCCAACAAATATTTATTGGCCTGTCAAGAGTCCCAAGGTCCTGGGGCTGCAGCTAGAATGTGACAGAACCCATTGGTCATGTTCTTCCTCATCCAGTGCTTATAATTACAGACATGACTACCAGGAGGGGCAGTAACTGCTGGGTGAGCTTAACTGTCACCTCCCACTGCTACTAGGCCAGATAAGCTTCATGAGCAAACAGCATAGCGCACTCATTTCTGTGCCTTGCATTACTGAATCATGTCAGCAAGATGGTCATGTGCTTAACTCTAACACTATAGGCATTTTGGCCTTTCCAGCACTCACAGTCCTGTGTATCCATATTTAAAATATAATACGCTTATTGAAAATAATTGCAGTTTCAAAATTAACTCTCCACTGTGGACGAGTCCCCAGAAAGAAGGTATATCTTCAAATGGAATCATGTACAAGGTTGATTAACTGATTAGAGCTTCTCTGGTTACAGAGTTTAGAGGGCAGCAAGTCCAGAGCCAAGCAGCTTGGATCATCTTTAGCCTGGTGTCCCAAGTAGCCTCTGAGGGGTGGGGCCTACTGCAGAGAATTGACTGTGGAGAGTTAGCTACAGAGGGAGGGGCTTTTGGGGCGCCATCTTGGCACAGAAGCAGTGCAGTCTCGCTCTTGTGTATGTGAGAGGGGGCATTTACCTACCTGGGGCAAGGCCACAGGCCCACAAGGCTTGAGCGAAAGCTAAGGCTGACTGTGGGCGGGGTGTGGAAGCGATCTGGACCAGAGGGCTGTCCAGCCATGAAGCAGGATGTGGCATGGGTTATTTGTTTCTTTGCAAGTGTCTCCCCTCCTCCGCAAAGATATAAACTATGAAAAACTCAGATAAAGATGTTATGTGGTTTGTCTAATAGCTCCAGGGGCAAGGGACCTTAGAAAACTTGGGCACCACCCCCTTAATTACTGTCATCCTCTGTACATGACCTAATCACTGACCTTCAGGTCCATCATTTGGATTGTACAGAGCACAGCTTCTGGAATGCATTAACATAGCAGACCTAGTCTTCCGCCAACCCAAAGCCTCAGAGTGTCACCAGATAGCACCTGAGGCCTATAGCCTACAGCTGAGAGTTCCGCTTTGCCGGAACTGCTTACTTCGTTTCCACCCATGTATTTGAAAAGTGCCTTGATTTATGAAGTTGCTATCAAAACTTAATGAAACCTCTTCCACATTGGAACATGGAGCTTGGAGTGACCTGGATCTGCTCCTGGGCTATGGTCGCTCATATTTGGCTTCAGAATAGTCTCTTATCCCCTTTGAGGTGATTTGTTTTTGTATCACACCACTTCACATGTTTATCACTCTGCAAGTTTATTCATGGTTGCCTTCCTAATGTAATCTCTTAAAAAAGATGCCAGGCAGCTGTCCGGCTAGACTGGCCAGAATCAGTGAGCTGAGTTCAGTGGGAGAACCTGCCTCAATAAATGGAGAGTGAATGACTGAAGACGTCACCAGACATCAACTTCCCGCTTCCGCACGTGTATGCACACCAGCACTCACGTGCATTCCGACACAAGCCGTGCACACACACACACACACACACACCAAAATAAAACAAAGCCCCAAACCCCTCAAGAACTCCTTGGTCTCCTCACCTGCTAAATGAGGCTGTTGGATGCAAACTGCACACTCTTAAGACAGGGATCTCAGCATGGTCTTCCCATTCCCCACAAAGCCCCCCCCCCCCAACTTGCCTTGTTTGCCAGTACTTACTTCCTTATCTGAAGAAGCTGATCACCAGAACTCCCTCAGCATGACAATTTCTTCTGAGTAACTTCCCGTCACTGACATACTTTCTTCCTTAAGTGTATCACAGGAATAGTCTAAACCATCCTGGATGTCTGAGGCATTTAATTAATACCACATATCACACTGACCTGGACCACGGGGATATCTTCAACAACTACTTATTTGTACAGCACCCTTGGCCTTAGACATTTTTACTGCTCTTTTTTGTTCAGACCCACACATAATTTTTGAGAAAAGTACGAAAGATATTCAAAAAAGGATAATCCTTTCAAACAAATAGTTCTAAAAGAATTGAAAATCCTTGTCAAAAAAACCAAAAAAAACAAAAAACAAAAAACTTGACCGATAACCTCACACCATACACAAAAATTACATTCAAATGTATTTTAGACTTAAATGTAAAAAAATAGGTAAAATACAAAGAAAAAAAGTTAAGAAATCCAGGAGAAAAATAGGACAAAATATTTGATATGCTAGATTGAGCAAAACCATTTTAGATAGGACACCAGATCCCAATCAATGAAGGTAAAATCAAAAGCCCAGTTAATCCAAATTAAAAACTGCCTTTCAAAAGATACTGTTAAGAATATGGGAAAACAAGCTACACATGGTAACGTTCTCCAAACATACTCATGACAATCTCTATTTACACCTTCCCTTCTGCGTCTCCTTGCCGTTGGGTTGCACTTGTAACTTTTTAAAAACATTTATTTTGTGTGTGTGGGCACAAATCTGTGTGGTCAGACGACACTTGCAGGAATTGGTTGTTTCCTTCCACTATGTGGGTTCCAGGGGATTGAACTCAGGTTGTCAGGCTTGACAGCAAGTGCTTTTTCCCCGCTGGGCCATCCGCTGCCCCTTATAAGTAACTTACTGTACACACACTTTCCAGAGATAAGGGGCAAGAAATGGCTCGTGGTATACTAGCACGTGAACAAATGTACTTAATGCTCATTTCCAGGGTGTGCTGGGTATGAACTCTGAAAACGTGGGCTCTGATGATCTGTATCTTTCCACTAAAATGACACGTATAGAGCGTTTCCGAAGCGTGAACTGTAGAGGTAGGTCTGGCTTTTATGTAAAGCTCTCTCAACAGCCCTTTTCAGACTTCTGGGGAACTCAGACCTACTGGAGGTCAGAGGCCTAGAACAAAGGCCCTTCTCAAGTTTGTTTCCTCTTTCGCATCCCGAATTGTCTAAGTGGATCAGAGACCCTGCTCTTCAGAGGTACCGTGGGGCCCGAGTTCCTTCACCTGTGGGACTCTGCCACCCCTGGGTATTGTGGCGTACCTGTATGTTTGGGGCCAGGGCACCAGCTTCTCTGGATTCCAGCTGGTAGAAGGGGTCAGGGAAGGTGAAAGTGACCCACAGTGCTAACCGCACTGACCTGTATACACTCTTCTGATGGCCCCTGAGTGAGAATTAGGCACATGGCCCCATGCAGAAAGTGGGGCTGGGAATGACGTGTCCAGTGAGGTGCGTGCGGAGCACACTGCAGTCCTACGTGTCCCTTGCCTGAGAGCAGACTCTGGCAGGTAATTCACCAATTTCCTTTGGTGAAAATTATTTTCTTTTTAGTTTATAGCACCGTGAAACTGCTATAGAATGATCTTAAGCAGGAAAAACATCAGCTTTACAGTAAAATGTGGACTATTTATGTTAGGACTGACATAAGCCTGGCAGGCCATCTGGTCATGGGACGGTGGTGGCCAGCAGAGCTGTTGCTGTCAGTGGTCCCCAGCAGGTAAAGCCTCACTGCTCCTTGCTGGTTCCTGCTCAGGAAGTTCCTGACCGCAGCAGGCAACAGCAAATCACTGCGGGGGGGAAAAATACATGAAGTTGAAACATTTCAAAATAGTGATTTGGAGTGACTTGTGCACTCCTCTCTTCTGCTGAACTAACAGAGGTGGCAGAGTCTGGGGAGCTAATTCTAGCATGTGTTTGTTGTGCTTATGCTCAGCGAACGGAGTCCAAGGCTGGTGCAAGCCCACAAGCGGCCAGAACAAATTCGTAAATGACACTTAGCATTTCCACTTTGATCCACAGGAAAAGCTAAGAGAGGCCTGGCCTGCGTTGTGCCTTACTACATTATTTTAAAACCCGAAGCACTGTCTTGAATGTGACTCCCAGATGTGACAAGCACACAGTGCCATTCAGGATCCCTGTAGAATACAAACACCTTCATGTGCTAAGAGGTACTAAGTGGTCTATGACCAAGATGCAGGCTTTCTTTCAATGACAAAATACAGTATTTTACCACCATTTTGAACAAAAGTAATTAGGGATAATTAACATAGCTCTATTTTTTTTTTGTAAACTAGAAATAAGTTCTGTAGAGTGGGAAATTCACTCTACCAAATATAATAATCATTACTAAAATAAATTCAGTGACCTTTTTAAAAAAGATTACAAAATTGAATTTATTGAGTTTTCACACAAGATGCACTTATAAAATTAGTACTGAATGCCATTATGACGGAAGAAATGAATACCGTCCACACTCCCAACAGCATCTGCAAAGGAAATGAAAACCTTCTGAAAACAACAGAAACAGTTCAAGCAGAACCAAGATACATTAAGTCACATCCCTGCGCTGTGTTTGGCAATGCTTTCTCCACTGTCCCTAGTCACCATGGACACCACTCCTTTGTTGGTGAAAAGGAGAAAGAACAGTATTAAAATGGGCACCACGCAAACACACGAAATGATGAAAATGTTCATTTTTTAACTTTAAAATACTTCCTGGTTTCACAAGGCATGTACATCTCCAACACCAATCTGCAGATTTCTTTAGTTAGTGCAAAACATTAGAAATCACTTCTGCACAAGACAAAGCATCAAAGCTTGCTTTCTATTTTATCCAGGATACGGACAAACCACCTCAAATTTGCCTTCTGTGTAAACGTGCCTGAAATTTTTGCATGAGAGCTGCCTTCTAGAACTGACATCACAGGGAATGAGGTCTAGAGGACCATCTTCTGGATGGTTTGAAATCAGACATGGTCAATTCTTTAAAATAGAAATGCAGAGGATTCTCAAGATAAAAATGGGGTGGAAATAACTTGTCCTAGGAAGCAGGCCACCAGCAGAGCAGAAACGGAATCCTGATCCCAAGCAAAAACCCCAGGGCACCTTCTGGCTGCTATTCCCAGCATCTACACTGCAGTCCCCAACACCCCATTTACGGTCATTTGAAACCCAGCACGGGCACCGTCACTTCTTGACACAAAACACAGACCCACCATGGAAGGACAAATGCATTCTACAAGCCCAGCAAGGTGCTGCTGGGAATATTTAAAACTGTTGCTTAAAAAAAAAAATCCTGTTAAAATCAGACAGCTTTGAATTTCGTACACCAACAACTTTATGGCCTATTCAACACCAAATCCTTTAAGCTGTAACTGATGAAAGCAATTAGCTTTAAAGGAAAACCAGTTTATGTCTTAAAGTTAACATTGCTTTGCTTTTCCAGTAAAAAGGTGCCTTTTTTTTTAAAACCATGTCACTGTAGTTAAATAACATACATACAACTCACGGTTTGCTTTTAAGAGTAACTGAAAAATCATGAAACATTTTTCAGTGATGTGTAACCTTCATTAATTGGTTTTCAATTAATAAATGAACTGGCTTAGGGTTTGTCTCCTATAAAACGTTGCATTCATCACGTCTTATTTAAGAGCGCCTTTTATTCTGATTAATTCAGATAGATCTTTAAGGATGACTCTGCTGGTAGGAACATTTACCTTGACTTATATTTAATTATTTTTCAATGCTTTGGCAGATGACGTAAAGTTTGAGAAAAGTTTGTGAAACAGCATGAGACTGCAAAGGTAGCCGTGGGGAGGCTTCACAGTTTCCTAGGTTCATCCTTGTACTGAAGAGGCCTCGAGGAAAAGCCAGCACTCTGGAAGCCCAGGCTGACAAAGCAGAGCAGCTCTTGCAGTGTTCTGGCTGGTGCCAGAAGTGGTGCTGCTGTTGGCTAAGCAGGAGGAAGTGTTCATCATCCATCAAGTTTCCCAGAGTCAAGGCTAGAGGCCGCTGCTGTTTTGTGATCAGACCTTCTGCCAGACCACATTTATGGAAGAAAGACTAAGATTTGCTTGCCATTAATAATTTAAGTTTTTAAATAAATATTTAAGTGCCATTTTTAGCATCTGTCTGTCCTGGTGGCTACCCCAGGGCTGTATCTTCACCTCATCAGCCACAGAAGTCAGTCAATTCGGTTCCCACAAATTGTGAACCTGTCTATCTCTAACAAATCTTTCTTTGAGGATCTGTGTTTTAATTCAGAGTTTTCCTGCGTTATGTCCTTCTCGTCACCATCTGGGGTTGTCAGAAACTGGTCAGAACTGCTGGTCACAAGTAAGGGTATGACATTTTCCTTCTGATGAACAGGCTGGCTGGTGACAGAAGCAGACAGGTTTTCCTCTGTGGAAAGACCTATGGGAAAGCAGAGCCACTGGATTAGAACTTGTTTCCCTTCAGTTCATCAACATGAGTTTATTAATATGTTTTCAGTGGCACTGGAAAGTGTCCATCATCCTCTCCTTTAGATAAAACAAATAACCCAAAAGCACACTGTATAGGTAGCTATGATTCATAATACTAAAACTCAGAGGCTGCACAAACTGTTTACGGATGACCAGGGATTTTACTAGGAAGAGTTCAGACAATGAACTGAGGACGATGGTTCAGAGTGTGCCAGAAAGAAGCAACATACCTTGAGAGGATTTGCACTTGCTCTGGGATTTACCGGAGGGTTTGCCAGGAGTGCTGGCGGGGGGAGGATTAAACAGCTTCTCTTCCATTTTGGCTTCCTTCACATACTGACATGATTTCCCCAACAGCACGATGCTATTAAGTATTTTCAGAGATATCAACCTATAACAGGCAACAAGACAAACCACCACTGTTGGGATTAATCTAGATCATGGTGTGAGTGAACCTCTTACCCTGGCTTTGGAGGTATAGGACCGGGTGAGGGCATGGGCTCAGGGTCAGTGGACCTGGACTGGTGGTTCGTGAGTTCCTTACACAAGTTTGAGTTTTCCATGGTTTTTTTTTTTTTCAAATCACAATGGAAAACTTCTGATGCATTCCTTAACATTCATAAGAAATCCTATCAGCTAGAGGCTTTTCCTGGTACTGAATGATTTGACTCTTACTATAAAACAAGTACAGATGAACAACAACAATAATCTATAACTCCACTTCCCAGCAACAGGCACAGTGGTACCAGGTGTATTATCTTCAGTGGTCTGCTCTGATCACACATTCCTCTGTACTTTCTCGCTGTGCAGAAATGGGGTCTACTTATTTACAAGGTAGCAGTGAAGACAAATGGAAGCAAGAGGATGGACTCGGGGCATTGTCTGAGGAGTCCTGCGTGGACCCGGGCAAAATCCTCCACAGCTGATCCAGAAAAGAGAGGGTCAGGCACAAGGCTCAGCACAGAGCTCGGCACAAAGAAATGCTAAGCAAGTTTGTTCTTTTATTACTGCTGTTGTTACTTATATAACAACAACAACAACACACACACATATGCATATACACGCACACACAGTTATATAAATATCTTTCCATGTCAGTTAATGTCTTTTGGTGGGTGACATTAAATGATCGTAAGACGTTTCTGCTGTATGGATTACATAACAAAGCCTGCTTGAAATAGCTCCCGTTTGTGGACATTTGAATTAGTTCTAATATTTTGATTCTATTAAAAAATTTCTAATAAGCGGGTCTTGGTGGTGCATGCCTTTAATCCCAGTAGAGACAGAGGCAGTGGGTCTCTGTGAGATCAAGGCTGACCTTCACCTCTTCTACTACATGCTTTTGGTCTTAACACTTGCTACCAGAGTCTCTTTAGAGCTGAGCTTTTCCCATTACTGTTTGTCCACTAGAATTTCAATGGTACCAAGGAAGGCACTTGGCTTCTTTCTGGCTGATTCCTCGAGCAACCTGGGACCAGTACCACAGCACAGCAGCCAAGACCCCAGGCCTGCTGAAAGGATCAGGAAGGGCGGTTGGTTCTGGGCGTGTTTTCCCTTCACAGCTGACAAGCACATCCTCTGTGAACTACGTATGAACAATTATAACTGAACAAAGGTTTTCATGTTTACTCCTTATTTATATCAAAATATGAGAAAAAAAAGCTTATTAAACAAAGACGAGAGCAATAACACTAGATAAACAGGGAACAATACTAAGAATATGTAGCAGAGAAAGAAGGTCTCATGATTTTAATGTCAAAATACTTGAGAGCTGGGTGTGGTGGCACATGTCTAAAATCCTAGTATTCAAGAAAAAGAGGCAGGATGGATCACGAATTTGAGACCAGGCTCTGACACACAGTAAACTTGAGGTCAGGTTGGAGTACATGAGACCCTGACTCAAAGAGCAAATGAGGGGCTGGAGAGATGGCTCAGTAGTTAAGAGCAATGGCTTCTTATAGAAGACCCAGGTTCAAATCCCAGCACCCATATGGTGGCTAACAATGGTCTGTAACTCCAGTTCCAGTGGATCTGATGCCCTCTTCTGTCCTCTGTGGGCACTGTATGACACGGGTACACTTACATACATGGAGGCAACACTCAGACACATAAAGAAAAAAAAAAAACAACCCAACACCCCCCTCCCCCCCGCAAACAAACAGGGACTTGTGAGATGGCTCAGTGCGTAAAGGCCCTTTCTGCCAAGTCTGGCGACCTGAGTTCAGTTCCCTGGACCCACATGGTGGAAAGAGAGAACCAACTCCTATAAACTGTCCTCTGACCACATGCACGCTGTGTTGTGGCACACGCACTCCCCCTCCCAATCAATCAATAATAAACAAAAGTAAAACAACAAAAAGGTAGGGTACGGGGCTGTAGCTCAGTCCAGTGCTTGCCTAGCACGCATGAAGCCCTGAATGAAATCCTTAGCACATTATAAACCAGGTATGGTGGTGTACACCTGTAATCCCACTATTCAGGCAGTAGAGGCAAGAGGATCCGAAGTTGAGGACCCCCTCCCCCCCAAATAAAACAAAACATGACAAGAGCTATATTAGCAAAGTGCTATGGTCTAAACATGGTTGTCTTCTTTAAGACTCAGGTTGAAATTTAATCCCTGTTATAATATATTGAAGGGTAGGGGCAGGTAGGACCTTTATGAGGTCAGTAGGGTTTTGTCCTCTATCAATGAACTAATCCATTCACTCTATTAAAGGCTATTTCCAGAGTGGGATGCCAAAGACCACTACGTCTCTAAACTGTCTAGTCTCTGGCCATGTGATAGCTCTATCACCTGGAGGATCTGTCAAAAAGAATGCCTCATAAGATGTGGACCCTCAACCTTGGACTGGAACCGTAACTAGAATAAAGCTCCTTGTAACTCACCCAGCCGGTGGTATGTATTTCCAGCAACAGAATGAGACTAGATAAAAGCACTTGTGGTTTTGTTGGAATGCAATGTGGGAAACAGAATGTAGCCTGATCAGAGTTCCATCCTGCTGTCGTCACCTGTCCACAGCTCTGAAGACCACTGCCTGACACAGGTGTTGCTAAGGCTGGAAGCAGTTCATGACTTGTAGTGTATGAAGGAAAACCGCAAGTGAAGCCCCCGAGTGACTATTCCTGACTGACAGAAGCACCCTGGCTACCTGTCATTTGTTAGGCAGCACATGAGTACCAGGCAAATGGAGGAAACACTCAGGACACTGGAACAGCACAGATGTCTCTGGAGAACAGACTTTACTCTGGGTTAGACTCTGGGGGACTCTGCTTATCTGCAACAACATTCTCCTCTGGAGACACTCAGACCTGCATTCTCTCACACACCTACACTCCCCAGTACACACGCTCTGTCCCCCACAAGGTCAGTGTAGGGAGGGTTTTCCTGATTTCCTTTTAAGCAGAGTAATCTGAAGTCAGGCTACTTATACCAACTTATATCATCAGTTCATGTCTTGAAAAACCAACAGTGGCAAAATGACATTTTACATGATTATTTTGTTACCACTTATAATTACTGTAAATTGCTTTAACTGTTCCCTTCTTCCTGTGTCTCCCAACCAGAATGTAAGCCAGGTGAGACCCACAAATTTGTAGATAAGGTTCAGCCAGCTATATACATAGAAACTGTAGTTTTTTGTACCACAGTTAGGTTGGTAGGACTGGTGTGCTGAATACTTAAACATGGCAAGCATACAAGAAAGTCAGAGGTTATTTTTAAAAATAAGAAAAATAACTGCAATGGAAGACTTTTTTCCATTAAAGGAAGTATGGGTGAAATCTAAGTCTTGAGCAAAAAGAACTTAACATAAAATATTTCATCAAAGATTAAACTCTAAGGTACAAAGTGGGAAAATTGTTCATTGGGTGCTACCAGCTTCAATTATATCTTGCAGTTATACTTTACTGTAAAAATCAAAACGTATTCAAGAACAGTCAGTCTTACCCAAAATAGAAGAGTATGACACAGGCATAAGACAGGATTCCTTGCACTTTAATTGAGCTTGTTACAACTCTGATGAGCTGGCCAGAAACAGACCAAAACAACAAAAACACACAGACAAAACACAACCACAGAGTGATTAGTCAATATTTAAAAACAGATTTCTTTATTCTGATTTCAAGACTTTAGAGCACACTTGCATTTAAACCCAAGAGGCTGGTTCTAGACTCTACAAGTCATTCCACAGTTGGCCTGTTTCTGACGTTTTCTGTGATGGACTGAGCAAGCTAGACATGTGCTGCAGCTGCTGCTGACTGGGAGGTCTCACCTGCCCAGTTCATCAATGATACCATCGTCTACACCTGACAGACGTGCTATCAGCTGACTTGCTGTAAGTGGAAACTTACTCTGGAAAGCAAAAAATACACTCATCTAGCATTCGTGCTGAAGACTGAGCCACTGGGCAGTTTTCTAATCCTGTTTTTCCTGTCCATTGTTTGAATTCTTTGAGATCCTCAATAACTTGCAGGAACATAGAGAAAAGGGAACCTCGGAAGACTCACACTTCTTAAGAAACTAAACACAAAATTAATTACTTAAAGGTCATAAAACTTCTTTCTCTTTTGGATAAGTGCAGCTAATATCTAATTTCATACTTATCTAACAGAAATACAGATATAACACTATCCCTGGAAGTCTGCTGGTGAGATCAGTTGAGAGAAAACAAATATTACATGTACAGGTCCTGGGAGCAGCTACATGGAAATGAAGCAGAGATAATTAGCCTCATTCAGTAATGTCAGGACTCTATTATGATGCTTTAAATATAATTAAGATTTATTAATAAAAAGAACTGTAAGGAGGTATGAGAATAGACTGCCATTCATTCATTTAAGTTTGACTACGAGGAAACAACACGGAGGCCCCAACAGGCGTCACAGCCTCTAACTGGGAATGGCTGTTACCAGTGAATTAATCCTTCTATTAAAAGTCAGTCAGAAAGTCTAGGTTTGTCCTCACAGCGGAATGCCTCATCTTCCCATTAGCAAGAAATATAAAAAGAAAAATGTAAAATTCTGCTTTCTCAATTTCTTTAACTTTTGCTAAATAATGTTTAAAGTCTCAATTTTACCAAAATTTTATGATTACCTTTCCCACAGTACACCACCTATTATTATATAATAGGCTATTAATGTAATTTAAAATATTTAGGCTATGGTTATCTGAAAAGTTGTTTATATTTAACATTAAACCTATTCATCATCTACCATCTAAAACGGATGGGCAAACCAACATGAAATACATGTGCCTTACTAACTCTCTCGTACATTTGTTAGTTGGCCTGCACAACACTGCTTCTGGGCCTCCGACCTGAAAACAGCTGCATGGGTTTTGATGGTAGAGCCATCAGAGGAGGTGGAGTTAGCAAACTCCTAACAGCACTATGGCCTGCAGTGCTAGTATCCATGGCAAAGCTGTTTTGAAAATTTCATCTAAATAATCAAAGCTGGTAATATTTTGGGGGAGCTGATTTAAATTTCAAGACTTTTAATTTGAAAAAATATATGATATTTTCTGAGCATAGCAGCAGGAATCTTCAACAACAACAAAGAAAAATGGAAAAGAAACCTTAAAAGTGGTTAGTTATGAAAGTTACCAAATGTCTTCTTTTGGGCATCCCATACTTTAATCTATTTTGCTTGCTTCCAAATTTTTCCACGTCTAAATGCCTCTGTAACGCTTGGCCTGCTCATCACTTGCTGCGTGCCTTGTATACCCAGTTCCTTAGCATAAATCCCAGCACTGGAATGACTGCATTGAATGTATCACTGTCAAAGTGGAATGCCCTCTATATATAGGACCCAGTTATAGTGCTGCACCACGCTCTGGAGGCCATACCAGTGCTCACCACCAGTATGTTCATTAGAAAAGAAGACTCTTTGTCCAACGAATAAGCAAAAGACTAGTCTCATTGTTAGGAAGTCTATTTGCACGAGTAATATCACTTTCCTATTGGATAGCTCAAAAATCCAAAATAATAACACATTTATCATTTAAAACACACTTTTCTTTCAAGTTATTCATTGATATTTTTTATACCAAGACCTGTTGAACAAACTTATTGATAATACATGTAACTAATGTTCTACAATGATGGGTATCTAATCATAAAAACATAGAGAAATATGGACTTACTAAAACAGCTAGTGGGAGAGGAATAAACCCCATCCTCCGTGCTACTGAGTCACTGTAGTCAGTGTATGCCTGCATAGAAAGTAGAAAGGATTCAGTCTGGGTTTAACCAGCAGATCTCTGCTCACCAGCAAGTGCTCCACACAGGTGCATGTGAACAGGAAGAGAACTGGGCACCTAGCTCGCATTTTGTAAAAGGATGTGGAAATAAATCTAAAGACTCACGAGAGTTTCAAACAGGAAATTATGTAAGTATCACAATGCTGTAAAAAATATACTATCCAATGTTACATGTTATTATATATTAGTATCTAGAAAAAGATGTAAGTTCAAGTCTATCTAGTTTTCCCTTATTTAATATTCCACAGTAAATCTAACCACTGCTGAGCTAATTTCAGGATATGCATTTAATAAAGTGCTCACATTCTTCTGTCGGCTGCTAACCAGGTCAAAAGCAAGGCTGGCTCTATATTCACTGTAGACCTAAAGGTGAATAAGAAAAAGTATTTTGGAACCTAGTACAATACACAAAGAGAAAAGGTTTAGACTGTGGATAAAAGTGTTTAATAATAACCCAGAAGCAGATGTTACTAAGTAAACTATTATTTACAGTTCCGGCAGTGTGAGGCTGTGAGCAACACCACCTCAGCCCCTCAATCTGCTCTTTTCACAGGCTTTTTGAAGGATTTGTCTCAAAGAGGAGCATTGATTATGATTCCCAGAGTTCAGAATTTAAGGAACAGTAGCTTTTTAAACAGTGCTATAGACATACATATACATGTCTGTATATGTATATATACAATTTGGAATTTTAAATAAACTGTTAAAAAAGTATTCCCGTGTATGCCTTTTTTAGAAAAACAGATGCTAATAGGAAGTGGGGCAGAAAAGGAGCTGGCCATAGTACACCACTGCAGAAGGCATGAGGCACCTGAAAACTGTCATTTCGAAACACTAAACATTGCAAGAACACTTGAATCAAACCTATTTATTTTTATTACATGTACTGAGAAAATGACCCTATCAAAAGAAAACCCATAGATTTTTGCAACTGCTACTTCATTCAATTTTAAATCTTTGATTTAAACAATAAGTACCAGAATAAGAGTGTTTATCAAAAATATAGCTCAAGAAAATTGAGAAAGCTTTGAACTAGGATGAGGCTAGACCATGAAATTCCCCTTTTTTATGTATCTCTACAGGAACTGATATCCACATATTTATTTCTAATAATTCTGTAGTACATGGTTACAACATAAAGCAACCCCCCTCAAAGCTTCTTTGATGATCCTATTTTAAAAACAGACAGTGTGAGTCTAAGAACTTAAGTGCTACCCTTCACTTCCACTGAACCAGGACTATTTAATATGGAAATGAACTGCTTCCAGTAATGTAGTAAGTTTTAGAAACTTCTTATTATAATTCTAACTACTGATATAATCTGTGATATAGTGAACTGTAATTTACCAGTAATCTCCTGTTTTCATAAATGCAACAAACCAAAGGCTGCAACTTCGTAATATTAAGGAGTCAAATAAACTTTAAACACTGAATTACTTCTAGAAATACATACATCTGCAGTAATGTCATTGAACTTGGTGATAAAGGCATGCTTTACAATATCCACAGCGATTTCTGATGCGATCACCATACAGACATCTGGAAACAACACCCACAGATGATCTATAAAGTATAAAAGGAAAAAAAAACAAAAACAAAAAAAATCAGACCATCACATCTCTTCATATGAACAGAATCTGTATCTCAAACTATCAGAAGCCTGAGATCTCCATCTGGCAAATTATACCATTTTCATAATAACACAAAGAGAACTAGCATTCAGTGAGTTATAGCCTTTATCAAAAGTCACATTTTATCAAGTATATGTGCGCGTGAGTGTACACACTCACGCACCCTCACACATACAATAAATAAATGTAAAAAAGTTTTTTAAAAAAGCATCTTGAGGGGCTGAAGAAATGGCTCAGCAGCTAAGAGCACTGGTTGATCTTCCAGAGGATCTGGGTTCAAATCCCAGCACCCAAGGGTGACTAACAACCATCTGCAATTCCAGTTCCAGAAGATCTGATGCCCTCTTCCAGCCTCCACAGGCACTGCACAACACAGGTATACTTACACACATGCAGACAATACACTCATACACATAAAATAAAAATAATAAAATATTTTAAAAAAATTTTAAAAGTAGCTAGGTGTGGTGGTGCATGCCTTTAATCCCAGCACTTGGGAGGCAGAGGCTGGCAGATTTCTGTGAGCTCAAGGCCAGCTGGGAGCTACGGGGAGACCTTATCTCAAAAAACTAAAAAAAAAAAAAAAGAAAGAAAAATTTTAAAAAGGATCTAGATACACAAAGGTATGTGGCATGGGGACATGTCCCACCATATGTCAAATGGTCTTTAGCTCTATTCACATCAGAACTGCTAAGATCTATGATCTGAGCTTACAATTTCTATAAGGAGGTAACTTCTGGAATTATATTTCTAAGCTCATATATCTCATAGTATAACTGATTAAGACTTTTCAAATGTACCTGGAAAACAAGCCATGAGCATGAGTGAAATAAACTGACAAGAGGTTTCAGATGCTCAGGAAATCCATGATGTTGGGAGTAGCATATGAAGTACAAAATACGGCCTGTTCCATCAAGAACTCGGGCTGGGCATGGCTGTGATCACCTTGAATCCCAGTACCCAAGAGGCAGAGGCAGGTAAATCGCTGTGAGACTGAGACTAGCCTGGCCTAAATAGAGAATTTCACCTGCCCGTGTTATTAGCCTACGAGCCCTATGAAGGGTTAGCACTGCTCACTCCTGCCACATAGCTGTGCCTTTTGCCTGGGATAGAGCATCTCAGTGAATATCTGTGAACTGAATAGTGGAAAATTCATAGAATCCCGACAACTTCGTCAGCCGTGATTCAGGAGTGGATATAAGTAATAAAATTTACTATTTTGCATTCTGTTTCTAAGATTCATCACTATTTGAAATCGTAATAGTATTCAGGTAAAAGATAAATGTGATGACAAGCAAAGGTTCTGGGCTGTATAGTTATGAGACAGTCTTGAGCTGCAGGGCTTGGAGAGACATCCTTGTCCCTAAGAACAGCTCCAGAGACACTGGGTCTTATGGGAAATGACAGCATCTCACTCCACAGACTATGATCCATCCATTCTCCTGAATAGTTATTTCCAAAACCCAAACAATGGTATAGACAGTCGCTTTAGCACTGACATTACTCCACTTGAAAGAATGGTTTTGCCTTAACAGCAAAATTAGAAGATACTATATTTGTTTCAAGAGCTAGGTACCTGGATTCCAAGAAAACTGTTCCATGTTTCTTAAGCACACAATTAATAAAAGCACATAATTTGTGAATCGTTCCTTAATATCTAAAAAAAAAAGAATATGAACAGATGAATGCTACAGTACTTATAAAGAGGGAGAATATGTACTTCTATTAAAACATGATAAAGCTATTACACCATGTATATATATCTGCAAAAAATACAGTTGTTCTTTAGAAACAACTTCAAAATTTCCAGCACGCAAGCCCCTTTATATAAAGTACTGTGACGTCTGCACATAGCCCATGTGCCTCCTGTCACTTATCAGCTCTACATACAGCATCTCCAGATTTCTCAGATTACCTCATACATCACTGCTATGTGTACAGCTGTTGTACTGCATTATTTAGAGAAGAGGAGCAAGGAGAGGCGTGATTTCATGTGTCCAATACAAACACAGTTTTTGCTTTAGAATATTTTTGACAGGCATAACCACAGAAATGTATGACAACTGTTTGCATTTTATAGAGGAAAAAAAAAAGAAGAGATAAAATACAAGACTTTAGATAAAACAAGCCCCTATGGTTCCAGGCAATATCCACTCAAGTAGTGGATAAAGCTCTTACATAAGAGAATACTGGCATTATAACAAGATTGCTTGGGGGATATAGAAAGAATGGGGGGTGTGGACAAATTAGCTTTCGCAATGGTACAATCGTATTTACCATAAGTTATTAACTTAGTTGGAATGGATTTACTGAAAGTAAATAATTGAATTCCTGATAAGCCAAGTTTATACATTTCACGTTTTCAGCTCTTATTTTCTTCCAGGAGTGCAAGGTACTATGTAATCAAGAAACAAACGTGTTGCAGTGAGTATGCATGCCCATGTGCATGTCCATGTAAGGCTGGGGAGGCTACGGCTAGGAACCATCACTGACATAGAGATGAAGAGGCTCTCAGACAGCCCGCTGCTGTTTCCCATTCTTCTGCTCTCTTAGTAACAGGCTCACCTACACCATCCAACTGTGGCACCTCCTGTAAGTACTCCACATTTCAGTTCCACCTCACTGTCCTCTGCAGGGCTGTCTCCTCTATTTCCTGTTCCTGTTCCTCTACAACATGATCTGGACTTTTCTTCCATAGAAAACACCTGTCCTCTAGGTGCCTGGGCCTTTACTATCTGCCTTTCCTAAATTCTTAAACTGTTCTAGTCAGTGCTGTCACCTTCCTTTCCAGAGCTGCTGACCTTATTTGCCATCAGTCTGTGCTGTACCTTTACTCCCTTGAAGCTCGGTGGGCATAATGGCTGCTCTATTTATGAAACCAGTGTCAATCTTTAAGCAACGCCATGTTTGAGGGGTAAGCTCAGAGCAGTGAGTCTCAAGGTGCAGAGCAGACACACCCTTTTACGCATGAGTTTTCAAGCACACATGCTTTACCTAGCTTCAGAGCACATGTGCACATTCCGGGGTGTGATTTCAAAGGTGATACAACTTAAAAGTATGTCCTGCCATAGATCCTATCAAAGTCAGACCAACAAAACAAAAGAAAACAAAACCATTCTCTGTAATTAGTCGGTAGATAGGGACCTTAATTCATGGGATTTCAGTTTTTAAGATACTTTTAATTGGAATTCTGTATAATTATTCACAAATCAGTCTCTACAGGTGTACTAAAATCTTTTCTAACTTCCATAAACAAAGTTAACAAAGAAATGTACTGATTTTTAACTTTTTAACTAAGAGTGGCTATATAATAAAAACTTGGTTCTTAATTATCTGGAATGAAAAATTTAGTAAATCATTTGAAGTAAGCCAAAGAAAGTTATGAATACTAGTATAACAAAGCAAAAACCAAGAGCAGTATTTAAATTCTTTGCATCTGATTCTTGGACACACGGAGTTGCAACACAGAGAAAGCCTACAACCATTTCAACTGTAAGGATACAGATTGGGGGGGGGGTTGTTTCATCTTATCAGAGGATATTTAAGACAAAACAGGTTATTTCAAAATATGATGAAAATTAACAAAAACGGACCAGTTTTGATAGATAAATGCAATTTTACATGAAGGATAATTTTGAAAATTAAGAAGAAGAGTTAACACCATAAAAAACTAAGTTTTTATTTCAAGAATCCACTTATCACTATGAAAATGAAGCTACAGGATTATACATATAGATACAGATGAAGCCAAGACTTTAAAATTTGAGCTATAGTAAAGCATACCTCAATCCTTAAATTTTTTTCATAATAAAATCTTGTATCACATGAACAATGCAATGAAGGACATGCTTCCACTGTGTTTCAAGTTCAGAAAAGTCAGATTCTGACTAGGATTGGCTTAAAGACTAATTAAAAAGCCCAATTTCTACTAAAATGGGAATGCTTTCTCTTTAATAAGAGCTTAAAATTCCTGGTGATTAGCCTCTGACATTCCAGTTACTGAGCCCCTTTCCTCTGCTGCACCCCACTGCACTGAGGCCTTTCCTCTGCTGCACCCCACTGCACTGAGGCCTTTCCTCTGCTGCACCCCTCTGCACCAGGGATGACTCTAACACATTTAGCACTGCAGTTTAAGTGGGGTGAGTGAAGACTCTACTTCAAGCAGCTTTTAGACTTATTGCAGCCATATAGGTCTGTACTGAGAAGAATGAACTGGCCAAATGACCTTTTGAATGCACAAGTCACATCATTAATGAGTTAAAAAAACCCCTAAAACTATGGAAAAATGTCACCATAAGAACATAAATCACAAATCAGCTAGGTTTCACAATCAGCTACTTTAAAATGAAATGGATAAAAGGATAACACTGGTTTTATTAACTAAATATGTCCTTCAGCAAGTCCACTGAAGAAAATGCACAATCAATGAATACTGGAAGTAATAAAATTACTCTAAAAATTTCAGTTTTCTACATTAAAACAGCATTAGGTACTGGACCTTATGCTATATATTTCCTAGTAGGAAAAGAAATTGACAGGAAAATGCTTAAGGAAACAAATTAGCAACCTGGAGTTCTCAAGGCATGGCACAGAGGACCTGGCTCTCGTGGTGTGGTCACCACAAGTGCAGAGGCCAAAGAGACACACAGAAAGGGCAGGCAGTTGCTCTGCCATCCTCATCCTGGTAAGACAGCCAAAGGGTTCCTCACCTGGGAATAGGTTTAAGAAGATGTCACAGGCTAAAGTTAATTTTTTATAAGATGCATATAATGCATACCACTTTGCACTGTAACATAAACTATTTTACTTTTAAGAAGTAAAGCAAAAAATTTTCTAGTGCTAACTACTAAGCATTTGAAGCCAAAATATATCCCTGAATGTCTTGTGAACACACTAATCAATATGCTTTCCCCCACCTGAGAATAGTCTTAATACCGTATGGAGGCTGTAATCTTTTAAATCTAAGATGTTGCATTTTGGGAGCCTTTTCATGAAAGAAAGAAAAAGACAATTATTATGCCAATATGCTGGTGATAAAGTTAAAAACAATTGCCTGCTCACAATTTTGAGGCCCTTACATATAAAGATTGAAAACTGTTATGACTCAAAATCTGTGTACCTAGTTTAAAGCTCTGAAGGTACCTACTAAGGCACGTTATTGATATAAACTAAGTATGATTTTAGTAAGGAAAGAAATTCTTCTGGTTGAGCGAACATACATAGAGCTAACCACGAAGCACTGACGCTATCAGCTCAGTTTTCACTGAACCCTGCTTCTCTTTTCCCACCTCTCTGTTCCTCTGGAATTTGGACACTTGGCCACACGCATGCAAGAAACAAGGAATATTCATGTGTGGGAAGAGCTCACAGAGCCCGGCTCACAGCTTTCAGATCTAAGTCCATCGTGGCCCCAAAGAACTGTCAGGACTACTTAGTTTTCACTTGTTCTTTCTGTACCACCAAGTTTTCAAATCAACAATTCCAAACAACTGTTTGTTTCAGTTTACTTATATACCATATTTTCCTTCTCAGATATAGTTAAAATTTACATATAATGAAATGCACACATCTTACGTACACAGGTTAGTTGCCATTTTAAGTAAGAAATAGAACAGTTCTACCTCCAAGAAAATTCTCTTGAACCCTTTTCTCCAGCCAGCATCTAACCACTCTTATTTCTATCATTAATTAATTTTGTCTGATCATAAGCCTCAGATGAATGAAATTTAAAAACTGAATTTTCTGAGTCTGGTGTCTGTTACCAGACACAATACTTGAGATATACATGGCAAGATACATAAATAATAAGTTTTTTCATTATTATTATTATTGTGTGTGTGTGTACATGTGTTCATGTTGGTGCATATACGTGTATAGAGGCCAGAGGTCAATCCCAGATGTCATACCTCAGGAGTCATGCACCTTGGTTTTTCTGAGACAGCGTCTCTCACTGTCATGAGTAAGTTAGTTGGCTGGCCAGAAAACCCCAGGGAGCCACCTGTCTGTTTCCCCATCATTGATATACAAGGCATGTGCCACAACATCCAACTTTTAAAAATCTATTTATTGAATTTTTGAGACTTTCATACAATCTATTTTGATCATATTCCTATCTCCTTTCTATCTGCAACCTCCCTGACTATCCCTGCCCAATTTCATGTATTTAATTACATATATATGTATACACACACACACACACACACACACACACACGCATATTCAGCTCAATTTCTCTACCCAAATACACCAAACTTTTTACTAGGATTCACTGAATCTCAAACTCAGGTCTTGGTGCTTATGTGGCCAAATATTCTTACAGATTGAGCTACTTCCTCAGCCCATTTTTCCTTTAACTACTGAGCAGCATTACATGGTATGACTACCATTTACCTATTTTCCTGCTGATAGACATCTCTGTTATTTCTAGTTTTGAACTATTCTGCATAAAGCCACCATGATCATTCTCAGGGTTGCATTAGGGTAGGTGAACAATTAACTATGTGAGAAACTATATGAGAAAGAAACTCTCAAAACCTTTTCCGGAGCAGTTATAACACTGGCCATCAATGCAGAGAGTGCTAGTTCACCCTACCTTGCCTAGCTTTGCCACTGTTAGCCTTGCAGAATATTCTAGAGGGTCTGAAGTGATGTCTCATTTGACTTCTTTCATGTTTAAATGATGCTAGACACCTCTCTAGGAATTTACTGGCCACTCAGACATTTTCATTTGTGAAATGGTCAAGCCTTTCTTCCATTTCTAAATTAGATTACCCTTTAATAATTACTTGACAGAATTTGCAATATATATTCAGGGACCAAAAACTTCTTTGTCAGACCTATGTATTTCAACTTTTTTCTCTTAGTGTAAATAAGGTTTTCCTTTTCGTTTTTAATGAGCATAGATTTTTTTTATTTTGAAATTCAATTTATTTATTTATTCTTATGGTTAGTGCTTTTTGGGTGCAGAATCTAAAAAATGTTTGCCTATACAAGACTTATAAATATATCCTCCTATATTTTAAAAATTTAGGATTTATGCTTTTGGTAATGAACCACTTTGAATTAATGTTTTGGGAGGAGGAGAGGGATTGAAGTTCTTCTGGTTAACCTTTATTCAGAAGTTTTACCACTACTCATTGGAAATCAAAAGCTCTTTTCACTAAGCATTAATGTGTTTTAGAAAATACAACTATTTTTATTAAAATGTTATTCAACATTTGTTTATGCTGAGCCATTTTTAATGAACTTTGATTAGAGCTATAAGTAGAATCTATCTGTACTTACCGCTATTTGACATTTGAAAGAGATTGTTCTTTTCAAACTTCTTGAAAACACTTCCTTTAATTTCAACAAACTGAAACAGTAAACAGAAATATCATCTTTATCCTGTAACAGTTCTAAAAATTGACTTGCTCCATAGAAAACTTCCTAGAGAATAACACAGAACAAAGAATTTCATCTCATTCACAGTATTACCACTAAAGTGCCTTTCTATCTCAAAAGAGAAAATAAATCTCCTACTTACATTATTGGACATCATGATAGTGAGCAGTGACTTATTGTGTGAGTTAAAGGCTACGTTGAGAGTTGTCGCTTGAACCATTATGAGAATTGCATGCAGAACTGCGAGAAGGTCAAGGGAAAACAAGGTAATGCCAAGAAATTCTCAAAGTGAATATGAGGAAAATGATATTTTCTAAACCAAATCTGATACATTTTCTTATTACCATAATTTCCCTATTGTCTTTTTGGTAACATTTGATAAGATGTATGCAATCCATATGACACAGACAAAAGTAGAAATGAACCCCAGAACACCAATATACTTAGGACATGAGTCCTTTTGAACACAGTAGCTCTGTTTTTCTGTAGTGTACTTGTCATAGTGCTTAAGAGTTAGGCCCTCAGCCAGGCGTGGAGGTTGGGCTCCTTTAATCCCAGTACTTGGGAAGCAGAGGCAGGCGCACCCCTATAAGACTGAGACCAGCCTGATCTTTACAGTGAGTTTCAGACCTACAGGGAGACCCTGTCTCAAAAAGACACCAAAAAAAAGTATTAGGCATTACATAAATGGAAGTAATTATGATCATGAAAGAAGTTTAAAAAAGAACACAAAATAAAAGTTAGCTAGTGTGGAGTTGGTTTTCAAGCAATAACGGAATTTTAGAACAGTAAGAAACACCTAAAAATAAAGATTCTTCTTCACATGTCATGGAGAATTTTATCATATTACATGTGGAATAATTTCTCTTTGTTCACTAAAATGAGAACAAGAATCTACACTTACAGTTACTGACCCACCTAGTCCTTTAATTTCCCAAGTACTAACCAGATTTCTTCAAAGTGTCACTGATAGTAAGAAAAAGATACATTCCTGTGAAAGAGTCCCTGTTTCTTAAGGAACTCATGAGTAGGTATGCACGTGTGTATAAACAGACATGTGCGGATATACAAACACCCACATATTATAAGGCACTTATTCTTCTAAAAAAAAACTTCAAGCAAGAGACAAAAACACAATCTCTTAAATTTATCAATTCATAAATTTAAAAATAACTGTAAGAAAAACTTTAAGCATGGCAGAGTCATAGCTCTCTATGAATGTAAGTATAGACACATACCACCTTTCAACAGAATCTGTCCTCATAATCAGTGACAATAAGAAAAACGAGCTGTGCACAGCAGAGGCTCTAAAACTAATTCTATAATTACTGTTACAACCAATGTCTCAACAGGAATCGGTGATTTCATGTTAATCTTCAGTAAATACACGCACATAAAGACAGGGTTAAATCTGTGAGGTCGGTAAAGAAAATAGACCTAGTCTGCACTGACTGCAATGCCCAGCCTGGAAGGATACAGACATAGAGAACGGCCATGAAGAAGTGAGGGATCACGCCGATGTGTGCTCTTTTCCTTTCCTTAGGTTCTGTGGCCGTCCAGTAGAGAGCATCTAATATATCTTGTCCAAACGACGAAAAGAGACGATCGGCAACCTACAGAGAAAGAATGCAAAGATGCTCCTCACAGCTCACTTAATATTTAATTACAAGTCAGATGAAGTCAAACATTGGACCTGATTTTTTTTAAATTTTTAATAAGTACATGATTAGAAGAAGCATTTCACTACAGCTTTAACATATTCAGTAACACACTCCAGAGCAAGAGTACGTCTCTTTCACAAGGAGCTGTAAGTTTCTAGGTTCACAATTGAATTAATACAGTTATACAATACTGAACTCAGTATAAGCCCTGTAAGACATAAAATTGAATGAGTTTTTAACCTTAAAAAAGATCTCCATTTCATTTTCGAATGTATTGTTCCGTGCAGGACTAACACTGAGATGATGGTGCATGCGTCTCTAATCTGTATGTATCTATTATTAGTCGTAATCGTTTGCATTTGGATCCTTGGCACTTGTATGTCTATAAAGTCATCTGGCAGATTTCAATGGTAATGTTTATCACCTCTATTAATAACATGATGTAAATTTCCATGCTTCCTCCTCAAATGTAATACATTTTGGTAAAAATTTGATTTTCTTTTTGTGTGTATATCACACAGAACATCCCAAACCATCTTATTCAACTATATACTCACTTCTCATATGGCACACTCCCATAGCCTCCCTGCCCCCAAATGTAATACATTTTGGTAAAAATTTGATTTTCTTTTTGTGTGTATATCACACAGAACATCCCAAACCATGTTATTCAACTATATACTCACTTCCCATATGGCACACTGCCATAGCCTCCCTGCCCCCACTAGAGCCCTTATACTGTGATATCCGTGCTACTGTTCGCTGTGTTGTTGGCATCCCCAGCTGATCCCCACTACTTGTCCATCTGGTGAATATAGTCAGCCTATCTAGAAGTCTGTTTTAGGAAGGTCAGCTGTTCCTCATCTAGCAGCAATCAGTTGTCAATATTTCTTTAGATAAGATGGGGATCTGCTGTTCATTTTCCCAGCTCTATGCTGGGTTATTATCTGGGAGTCCGTTAGGCCACCCTGGCAAAGAACTCAAAAGAACGTTATCTCCTATTTGGCATAGTTGCTTTTTATGCAGCCTTTAGCTATGCATATGGACTCTTAAGAAATTATATTGGCCCCTTTAATCTTTGGTTATACTTTCCTTTGGGGTGTTTAAGGTCATACAGTTGGACCAGATAAACCAATTTATTTTTACTCTTAAGGTCATTTGAGGATCTGTTCCTCAGGAGTTACATGGGCTTGGGAAGAGCCCCTGGCTCCTTTCTTTTCCCAGTTCTGCCTATGTGAAGATAAGTCAATGGTCGCCTCCTTGATCAAGAGGACAGGTGACCCACCACCATTATAGGACATTTTGAGAGATGCTCATAGTCCCCCAGAACTAATCAACCTAGGAGGGCAAGGAGCAAAAAGTGTCCTTTTTGTCCCTCTGACCAAATTAATATAGGCCTCAAAGTATGTCTGTTAAACACCCAAGAAGGTTAGTTCCATCAATCTGGTACTTTTAATTACTGTGTGTCATGTAGACAAATCTTGGGCAAAGACCAATTGTTCTCAGATAAACCTCACCTAGACATATATTTCTTGATGTGCTATGTATAATTCATCTGTAGGTTGTTGGGGTAATATGGTTCCCTCTGGTTTTTAAAACTATCTAGGCATTATTTATCCCTTGCACTGTCTCACCCCTCCATCATGGTTTTCCCACTTAAGGTGCCCCCATTTCCCCCTTCTCCCTTACTAATACCCTTCTCCTATGGTCCTACCTCTCTTGAGCTCCTTCTTTCCCTTTATCCCCTAGGTTCCTTGTATACCCTTCCCTCCCCCATCCCTTAAAATAACCCCATTTTTATCCATATCTCCCTTATTAATGCCTATTTCCTACTGTTCTTCTCTTTCAGGTTCTTTCTTTTCCTTTACCTCCCAGGTTCCTTTCCATTATCCTGGTTCCTGTAGTTATGTCTGGATACATACTCACATATCAGGGTTTGGTTCTAGGATCCACATATGAGGAAGAACGTATGTCGATTTTTTTGTG